AGGTTTACTAGTAGACTTTCCCACGCTGCCCGTGCATGCGTATGAATCGGACACAGGGCAGAGACCCTGTGTGACATGTAGGCCTATACAATACAGACTTTCCTGGGGAAGTGACTGTCCCACCCACTGCTGTGGAGAAGATTCTGACTCAAGGACTCTCTACTGGAGCTGCCCCTAGGGTCCCCGTCTTAGGACATAGACGGCCCTTATTTCTTCTGTGAAACAGCTGCTGGGCTGGAACTGCTGACCTTCGATCAGCTGAGAATCTCTATTAACCACTACGTCACCTAAATGTTTCAAAAGGAGGCACTATTGTGACAGGAAAAGGATTTAGGCCAGCACGTCTCTTAACTTGTCTTTATGAACACAGCCGAAGAGTGTATTCAACATTTTAGGGATCATTTAAAGTGTTTGATGGGGAAAAGTCTGTGCTGGGGCATTGTCAAGTTTGGCACATTTACAAAACTGTCAGGTCCTGGCTCGGGGACCTTTCTAAGGCCATCACTGGCCGTCCTAAGCCTGTCCCTGTCTCATCTCGTCCTCTGATGATGACAGAACTCCATCAGCTCTCACCCAGCTATCTGGGGCTATTAAACCCGAGGGTCCCTCTCCGGGACTGAGTGACAAGGACGGGCATCCAGGCTGACGCGCACAGATTGCTTTTTGTAAAGTGTAAATACAAGACCCGAAAGGTCTCATGGATTTCTGTGCAGAGTCGATGCATCGTGGTGAACTGACAGTAGAGCTGATGAGGATGGAATCACCAGTTCTCGGTGGGTGCACGTGGCATCCAGGTGGAGGTGCCGGACAGCGCTGGGGTCAGAAGGTCTAGTGCTGTGCCCCTGCTTGACCTCAGGCTGACAGACCCACAGATCACAGGACCCTTCGCACTGAGCCACTGAGCACTGTCACCTGTATACTTGCATCAGGTGTGTGGGGGGGGTGGAGCTGGTGATGGATGAAAGCACTGGCCGTGATGAGTAAGAAGCAAACACCACCCAGCTGTCATCAAGGCCTACGTGGTGACTAGTGCCAGCGCACCTGTGGTTAGGAAGCCACCAGTGGGACCAGCGCGCCAGTGGTCAGGAAGCCGTGGTGGTGGGAAGCTCCTACTTTGCAGAAGGATGTCCTGAAACATGCCCTCCCCCAGGATCAGATATGAGGGGTACACAACAAAAACTAAAAACCAGAGTAGTGAACCATCCAGAGTCGTTTCTGGTTCATGGCTCCGCTGTCTGGATCCAGTGTTCTGGTCCTCTGTGCTGGAAACACACGTCACCCCACAGGGGTGTGCCCAGTCCCCCACTTCCCTGAGAGGCTGTGCTGGCATGACCTGATGGCCCCTATCCGCACATGCAGCTCCCCCCTCCAGTCCCTTTCTGGAGACCACAGGTGACCCTCCAGCCTCCTCTCCTGTCAGTTCCTCAATAACACCCGTCAGTTCTACCTCTTGTGATCTTGTGGGGCTCAGGCAAGGGTGTGAAAAATCTAAGGAAATGGACCCAGTCTGCCTGTCATTATCCAAAGGTTTACAAGCCTGGACATGGACAGATATGGACGCAGGGACAGGGGTGGGTGGGCGTTGGGGCCCCTGGGGCCCTCAACGTCCAAGGATCACAGGAAAGACCCCTTCAGTGACAGCACTGAGCAGAGTGCCCGCGATCTGTTTCCTTAAATATTTCAGCTGCAGAGACCCCAGGAGACCGTGCAGGCTGTGACACACGGGGTCACCTGCATCAGAACAGCCACGGGCATCCTGCTGTCTGGATGTCTGAAATCTGAAGTCTCTGTGTGTCCTTGTCCTCAAGGTCGGTGTATCCCACCCCGCCCTTCAGGTTAACATCTAGCTCCTCATGCTCAGAGACAGACCAGATCACCTCTTGGAGGGGCTCCAAGACTCAGGGTCGCCCACACCCCGATGGAGACAGGCTCTGGGGACTGGATCTTCACTACCAACCCTCCAACCCCAGCCACAGAGATGACCGGAAACAGGGTCCTGGGGGGCAGGGCAGGCCTCTCCAGGGGTTCAAGGCTGAATCCTGAACGAAGCAGACTGCCAATCCGTACTCCCTCCCCATCCCCCCCACCACCCGGTCCCAAAGCCCCTGGTGACCACGGACTCTCAACCTTCCACATAGTCCTCGAGCACCTACCCACTGCGGCCAGGCCCCTCCGTCCCTGCCCCACAATGACCAGCTCCTGAGTCAGCCTCTCTAACATGACTGGGGCCTTTCCGGAGCCCTGACCCACCTGCGTCTTGTCACACCTGGCACCTGAAGGCTCCCTGAATGGCAGCCCGGCCGGCAGAGCATTTGTGTGTGGAGAGCGACTTCTCTGGGGAATAAAGAAGTCAGAACATACCTTCCTCACAAAGTCTGAGCATGAAGACACTGAGTTTCAAAGGTCTCTAACGGCAAGGATGTGTCGACTGAATAAACGCGTCAATGACCACAGTCTACATCGGTGACCACTCTCAGGTCAGCCTCCCTACTGCCCTCAGAGAGCTCTACCTTCTGACCATGTCAACATCATTGGAACTGTTGCATGGCAACTGGAGGGGTGGGGGAGGGGACATCAGGGAAAGGTTGGTGGGGGAGGGGACATCAGGGGAAGGCTGGAGGGGGAGGGGACATCAGGGAAAGACTGGTGGGGGAGGGGACATCAGGGAAAGGTTGGTGGGGGAGGGGACATCAGGGGAAGGCTGGAGGGGGAGGGGACATCAGGGGAAGGTTGGTGGGGGAGGGGACATCAGGGGGAGGGGACATGGCTGGGAAGAGGAGGAGAGGACAGAGAAAAGTAGGCGGGGAGGGGGCAGGGAGGGAGAGAAAGGGCGTGAGGGAGAGAGGGGGTGACAGGACAGGGGACAAGAGGGGGAGTGGGACAGGGATAGAGTGAGAGAGGGCCAGGGGAATGGAGGGAGGAGGAAGACAAGAGAAGGCTGGGGAGGAGGAAGGGGGAAAGGGACAACCAGTGGGCAGGGAGGACAAGGGAGGGAGGAGAAGCAGAGGGGAGGGAACAGGGTTGGGGGTGGCAGGGAAGAGCAAGGAAGGGGAACAGAGTGGGGCATGGAGGGAAAGGGGCAGGTGAGAGAACAGAAGGGAGAGGAGAGAGAGGGGAGGTGGGGGGAGGCACCCTGGCTCCATCGCTGGTGAGCAACAGTGGCGGCCTCCAGCATCCCTGGCCCTGTTCTCTCAGAGGTCGCTTTGATGACTGGACAAAGTTTTTCTGAGCATCACTGAAAAGTCCTGCACAGGACACTGGGGTGTGAGACCCAGCGGCACTTCACCCTCGGTCTAGCCAGGTCCCAGGCCCTCCCGTTTCTCCCCGGGTCTCAGAGCTGCTTTCCTTTTCATGTTATTTTGATGCCACTGTTCCCTTACCAAGAAACATCTAAATGTGTTTCCATTTTTCCTACATGTGAAAATACATACAGATAACGCAAGGTTGATTTCTTTAACCTGTTTCCGAAAACCAGTGGATCTGGGAAGTTGGGCAGTATGACAGCCTGTTTATGGGGTAAGCTGTTCAAGAACACCAGCCTCCACACAACTCAGTGAACGTCTCTGGCACCGATTATGATGAGCATTTTTTTTATGTGTGTACAAATCAGATCTGACTGGTACAGGAGGAGATTGTCTCTCCTCCTTCAGCAGAGTATCTGGTGTATTCGAATCATGCACCTCTGGGATTGCTGTGCAGCTTCTTGCCACTAAGCCACCAGAGCTCACCCGATGAGCATTATTTTATAATCTGTACCTAACCAAGGTTTTTTCCTCATGAAAAAACATCTTGAAATTAGTTGCCATCAAGTCAGAAGTGTCTCACAGCTGATCCACCCGTGGGTTTTCAGAGACTAAACTCATGAAAGAAGATTGGCCATTTGTCTCCTGTGGCATGACTAACGGCTTCGAACCACCAAAGAGATGCTGCCTGTAGTTGGCAGCACAGCTCCCTACTCACCAGGCCACTCGTGTTGTTACACACAGTGATCCCCAGCACAACAGATCCAAACCTGCCCTGCCTGTGCCATCCTCAGCATCTCCGGTATCCCCGAGTCCACGATTACAGTCACTGTGTCTAACCATCTCCTGGGGGCTCTGCTTTCTTTTCTGACCTTCCACCATTCCCAGCATGATGCTTTTTCCAAGAACTGATCCTTCTTGACAACAAGCTCTGAGTCTGTGAGATGAAGATTCAGCACCCTTGCCTGTAAGGAACACTCTGGGGGTGGCCTGAGCTGGGACAGACTTATAGTTTGAAAGTTCTGCAGGTGAACATGACATCATATGCATCCCTAAGATTACAGCCTTGGAAACCCTACAGGGCCATTGGACCCATGAGGCAGAAGTGCCAGACACAAGAGAGGTGTTGATGTGTTTTTAAAAGAAGAAAAAGTAAGCAGGGCAGAGAGCCAGCCAAGTAAACAGTAATAATGTTAGCTGTGTTGTTAAACCATCTCTTTCTCCCCATGTGCCTGCACCGCAGGGACAAGAGAACCCCGGGGACAGGAGTAGCATGTCCTTCTCGAAATGGAGAAATCCCAGGTGGGAGGATGAGAGCTGGGTGGGCAGGTGGTCATACTGGAGCCCAGGGCTCCTGGCTAACATCAGGACCACTGCCCATCCCAACAAGGGTCCAGTGTGGCGGCAAGAAGAGGGAGTGGGAGGAGAAAGCAGCTCAGGAGGGTTGGACACTAACGATTTGCCCTCAAAGAGACGCACACGGTGTGGTGGGGCTAGTCCAGGGCAGAGCAAGGGCTGTGGGCCCCAACCCTTGCCCATCACTGACCCTGAGATGGGCGCCGGCAGCCCCTGGTCTGGGGCTCAGCTTCATGGTCAGTGGGCAGGGACGCCGTGGGGGCCCCTCCAGTGCACATAAGCTCCTCGCCCCTGATGGCAGTGTCAGGGGGCTGTGGGCACGTCACCTCACTGACGCTCCTTCTTTACAACCTCTTCTTCAAGGACACAAGACAGTGGTGGCTTAGTGACAGACTTTCTCACCTTCTCTGCAAGAGACCTGGGCTTGATTCTCAGAGACCCAATGTCCAGGACAGCCACCACCGGCTTGTCAATATCTGCGATGCTGAACGGGTTTTGAAGCAGATTCCAGACTAAGACTGGAAGGAAGGCCTGGCGATCTCCTCTTAAAAACAGGCCAGTGAGGCCTACAGGGGTCATGGGGATGGCGCAGGGCCAGCTAGCTTTCGGCTCGTGCCCAGGGACCAGTGAGTTGGTCGTGGCTTGAGGGTGATCGATGACCACAGCAGGGTATCCGCAGTGGTGGGCTTCTTGGGGCATCTCCAAGGGTTTGGGCTGCAGTGAGGTCCTCAGGGCAGAGGAACACCCCACACACACACTCTGTGTAGGACAAGTAGTAAGACTGCTGGGGGTGGGGCTGGAGGGTGAGGCTCAGAAGGAAGAGGCCTGGCTTTGTCCACACCTCCTGCTGCAGGACCTGGGTGTGCTCTCCATCTCCCAAGAGCTGCCCCCTCTGTCAGCTTGGAGATCACCACACAAACACAACAGGGAAGTGCCTTCACTGGGTCAGGACGGTCCCGTGTCCTCTCTGCGGGTGGCGTGGCTGCCCTTGTGGGCCCTCGTCTCCATGTGGTCGAAGGGGCTGGACATTCGGCCAGAGTGTGGAGCAGGAGCCCTTAGGGATGATGGCAGGCCCCCGCCTGGATGGACAGAGAAGTGGGGCAGCAGCTGAGAGAACGGAATCTCCCATTACAGGAACCATTAACAGGATTAGGGCTGCACAGCAGGCGCTGGGACAGTGCTGTCACCCGACCAGATCTGAGAGGCTGACATTAAGGAGAAGCCCAGCACTGTGGGGTGCATACACTGCCATTAGCCTCCACTCTGCTCAGCACAGTGTGGCCTGTTCCTGAGTCTAGTGGTCTGTCCCCAGCCCAGTGGCCTCTCCTGGGCCTCAGTTTTGCAGACAACGAGGACCTGGTCGCTGTATGCACCACTCGGCTCTGATTTCTTTCTGGTTTTGCTCTTGCTGTTTAACAGTGTGAATATCTTAGCACGCCCCTGTCCTCTAGAAGTGCCCCCTGCCCTGCACCTTGTCGCACCCTCTGCCTTTGAGTCTATTCAGACTTTACAGGACCAAGCAGAGCTGTCCCTGCAGTGCCTAAGATGCTTTTTCAGAAGCAGAGGGCTGCTTCCTCTAAAGGATTCCTGGGAGGTGCAAATGGTTAATGCTCTCAGCTGCTAACTGACCCACAGGAAACAGTCGGAAGAAAGGCTTGGTGATCTAATTTTGAAAAATCAGTCGTGGAAAAAAAGTATGAGAATACGCTAATCTGACATGCACGGAATTGCCCAGGGCCAGGGTCAACTCACTATTAACAGGGAAACTTAGGCAAGAAACAGGGAAATTGAGTCCTCAAAGATATTAAGAGATCAGGAAGCAAAAGATGCATTCAGTACCAGCTTAATGCACATACCACCACCACCACACCACAACAAATCTGTCACTGAGCCAATTCTGACTTAATGCAACCGTACAGGACCAAGCTGAAACCCCATCCATGAGGCTTCCAAGGCTGTGAATTTTCCAGGCACAGACTCATGCATCCTTCTCCTGCCAGGCGGCTGGTGGTGTGAACAGCCAAACTTCCTGTTTGCAGTCAAGCATTTATCCATTTTGTCACCAGGACTTGATCTACACTGTACACTGCTGACCACTACACACACACACACACACACACACACACACACACACACACACATCCAAACAGAAACAGGCTGGCAGAGGCTATCCTGAGAAGCTCCCAGTTAAAACAAGGTCTAAAGGTCCATGGTATTTCAACAAATCAAGTTAAAAACAAGACCCATCTGTCCGTCCAGCCCCTTCTCAGAGGCCCTCTGGCCAGGCGGACTCGTCCTCTCCAAAGTGGTTTCAAATAGCAGCTTTGCCAAGAGAGAAAGCATCTACCCTACAATTTACAGTTTGAAGGATAGGGTGAAACGGATTTTGGTGTACTTACCACGTTACACATCTTCTCCTTTTATCTGACTCAAGACCATGTTCATTATCTCCAGCAGGAAGCTGGGCCCTCTGACACCAAAGCCAGCCTGCTGCCGTCAAGTTCATTCTGATGCCAGGCGCCTCTAAGCTGGGTCTCCAAGGCTGGAAACCTCTACAAGACGAGACAGCCGGTCTTCCTCCCACGGAGCGGCCAGGTGGATTCAAACCACCAGCCTTTAGGTCAGCAACCTGATAATGTGCCACCCCAGTGGAACACCGTGGACCCTCTGCCGTCAGTCCCGGTACCTCCAGCCCCAGGACCACGACGCTGCCCTCTGTTCTCTAGATCTGCCGCTCCCCAGCACTTCCTCTAAACGGGACATGCAATGTGCAGCCTCCATGCTGGGCTTCATTCACTCAGCACGCTCCCAAGGTCCACCCATGGACAAGGCTTGTTCCTCTGTATCGTCAAATCTTCCTCCACTGCAGGCCCGTTCCACGCTTTGTCGATCAGCACTGTGGACTGACTCAAGTGCAGCAGGGGTCGTGAAGTCAGTGGACGGTCACAGAAAGGGCAGGGTTTCATTCTGTTACACATGGGGTCACTATGAGAGGAAAGCCCACCAAGGCCACCTCACAGCAACCTTCAGCGTGTCAGAGGCCGCGGGGACAGAGAGATGGGTGAGCAGTAACCAGGCAGTCAGCACGGAGGCCAGCAGTCAGAACACACCAGCCACCCCTGGGCAGAAAGAGGGCACCTGTGGGGCACTTCTATCCCATCCGGCTGTAACTCACTGGCAGCGGTGTGCTTCTTCCTCAGTCTACAGACGTTTGAGTAATCTTCATCTTCAAGCTACTGTGCGTGGCCATGGACATTCAAGTACAGGTTTTTGCACGGATGTGTTTTCCTTTCTTCTTGCACAGACATCTAGAGTAGACCTGCTGGGTCATGAGGAGCCCTGTTGACCTTGTGTGTAACAAGTTGGAGAACGACGGGGAGTCTTTCTGGAGAGTGGACTCCATCCAGCACAGCAGAGTGTGACAAGGGTGCACATTCAGGCAGTGTTTCCTCTACTGCTTCTCATCACAGCTCAGAGCCAGCTTGATGGCAGCTACCAACATCAACCACAGCCAGGCCTGGGCCTCAAGGTCTTACCAACATCAACCACGAGGCCGGCCTGGGCCTCAAGGTCTTACCAACCACGGCCAGACCTGGGCCTCAAGGTCTTACCAACATCAACCACGGCCAGGCCGGTCTGGGCCTCGGAGTCCTACTAACCACGGCCATGGGCCACGCTGGTCTAGGCCTTGAGGTCCCCGTAGTAATCAAAGCAGAATCCCTGCCCTGGTGGATCTTGTATGCAGCTTAACATTCTAGGAAAAGTTAATGATGCCAGTTATTATCATAATTCAACATTTTTACTCTTGATTGCAAAATAAGTACCAGCTCATCAGAAACCAGAAACTAGAATGACAAGATAAAGGAAGTTTCACTAATGAACTTGAACTTTCAACGAAGCATTAGCGTCAATAATTACAGTTCTCCTTGCCAGCTCCCCAGTGTGCCCTCTCTCCTCCCCACTTGTCAAGAGGTGGGAAGCAGAGGTGCCTGGGAAGTCACATGCCATGGGGCCACCCACCGCTGAGCATGAGAGAGAAGGAGTGAGTTCAAAGGGGGGGGCCTCCAGAGGTCCAGATGGCAGGTGAGGTCACACACTTGGAAATCCGAGGCGTTTCAGGAGCACCACATTGAGATTTCAAACACAGGATAAAGAAGCAAAGGAGAAAGCAGAGGAGGGCAGCAGGGCTGGGAGGGACTGGGCTAGACTTGAACGAAAAGTGAACTTGCTCACCTCAAGAACTCCAAATCATAAGGGAAACCACCAGAGCTGCTAGTCTTCTAACAGCACCTGGTGGAACTTCCAAGGTCACGGTCATCAGTCACTCTTCCATCCTGGAGCCGAACTTAACTCTGTATGTGTCTCGACCTTCAGTCAAATCACAGACCAGACTGAAGGTGAGCAAGAACACCGAGGGCCCTCAACACCTTAGAACAATCAGCTGTACACAATCAAGAGGGCAGCTCGAGCCCAGAGACAAGGCTCAGAGGGCAGGAAGGCCCAGGCGAGGATGCCCACGGGAGAACAGAGCGCAGGGGGCAAGAAGGCCCAGGCGGGGATGCCCACGGGAGAACA